CGTAAAAGAAAATCGTACGAAATTCTCGCTTTGACATTATAAGGATGACTGAATTATTTCCAAGTAGCGGAATGCTACAGAGGTAAACAAACAATATCATTTGGAAGAGGATTAATAAGTGTTGACATTCATACAAATGAGTAATCCTGTAAACGTAAACAGAATATTTTATATAGATTTTTTTTAATGAAAACTTAAAATCCTGCATTATTTTCCGGACAACCCGATAGTAAGGAATCTTATTTCTCTCATTTGGTTCAATACCGACGATGTGGACCCTTTCTCTGATTCAATGTTATTTTATATAAATAAGATTTTATTAGCTTCAAGATCAGAAGAAAAAGAAGAAGAAATTTTGGAACACCGCTTTGTGCCTATATAGTTCATATTCCATAATATTGTTTTATTGCATTTATTGTAGTATTTTTTCTGCAGGGTTGTAAATGAGCTGTTTGAACTGTTATTTCCCTAAATAAATAAATAAACTACTGGAGTGACTTAGTTTAAAATGATATTTATAGATTAAGATGTATAAATATCACTTTTACTTCATTTCAATATTGTTTAAGCGATTAATGTGGTATGTAGTTAAATAGTTCTTTTTTTTCTTAAGTGGAAAGAAATTGTGGAAAGGAAACAAAAGGAACTATTTTGTTTAAAACCTGACAAAAGTATTTTCTAAAGACAATTTAAATATATGCTGTATATAAGTCCTAAAGTATGTCCCGAGGGCCCTGTGTCAGAAAAGACCAATCTAAGAATCAAAGGTACCATGAGTTGTGAGGTGGGCAGGATTGTTGCTCTAGCTCTCGGATCGAAATGAAGTACTGATAAAACTGAAATTGCCTTAAGCCTGATTGTTGCTGTGGGGTTTAATCACTGTCATTTCCCTTAGGAAATTCCTAACACCGATGTTTTTAGTTGGTCTTAAGTATTTATATAATTTGTTTTAATCCAGATGGAGATTGTTTTAGTTTGTTGTATTGTTTTATACTGGTGAGGGGAAAGTTTTCAGCCCATTTTAAGTTTGAAATCTTAAACGATAGTTTTTATTAATTTAATTGTAGTTTCTGTACAATTTTAAAAAAATATATATACTGTAAGCAACCCTATTTGGGAAACCACAGTTCCAACATCATTAGAGAATGAAAATTTAATGTGGTCAAACTGGGTGGTAACAAGTTACTAAGCATTTGAAAAAATAAACCAAATTTTATGCTCCCATATTCAAACTTCATGTACTATGAATATTTTTTATTTCTGTCAGACCTTGTAAAAGGACACCAGAAAAAATAATAAATCTTGACAGCGGTCTCACGATTAAGAATCATGACTCATCATATTTAAAAGCAGACATTAATATATTTTCTTTGTTACTGGTTTATATAATCAATTGCATTATAATTGTACAATTCCCACTAGCTTAAGGCATTCTTATGAACAATTGTTCAGTTCCTTCAAATTTGTATACTGCAAACTTCCGATTCGCTGAATATCTAAAATTAGTTCTAATTAAAGAGTGTAATGACCTATAAAAATAGTGGACATATGAATATGTTTAACTGATTGACATTGCCTCTCATCACATGTGAATAATAATAACAGTATGTTAATTATTAGTTTTTAGCAACAAATAATTATAAATATGCATGTTACTAATATTACAAATTAGTAGTAATTAACGGTATCACAGTAGTATGTGCTTAATATACTGGAGGTAATTTCTTTGGTGGGACTAGTTGAGCAGTAACGCTCACATTTCTTCATTGTGCTAACAGATTGAGGTTTTTTCTTACTTATTTCTCAAATTAAATAATTAATTAATTATTCTTTCTTTATAAGGTCTTGGCTGAGATAAAAATTACAACAATAATAATAATTACATAGAAAGAATAATTAACTGAAACTTGGTCAATTGACCACAAAAACTGGATTTAAATAATTAATTTGATAAACAAAACTGTCATCAAAAAGTGATCAAGTGTCAGTCAGTTCACGGACTGGCAAACCAACTACCACCACAACCATTATGCTTGTGTTGCTTGTGCTGAGCAATTTAAAGCTCTCACAACCATTATGCTCTCCAAGACATGAATAGTATTATTACCAAATTTAATTTCAATAAAATAAATGAAAAATTTACCTGCTGCTCTACTTGAGATGCTAGCTTGTTGATAGCCTCTTCCCTCTCCCTGTCTTCACTTTCTGAGGCGACTGATGTTCCTGTTCCACTCCACTCAGCCTCCACCAACCTCTGTTCCATAATCCGAACCTTAAAAGAAAAACAAATGTCAATTAAAGTTTCACACTTATGTTTAATCGTCATGAGGATTAGAATGGCACATTTTTGTCTGGCGCTTATCCAATGGAGTTCAAAAAATTATTTACAAACCTCTATTTTAAATTGGGGTAATAATGAATAAATGTTAGAAGGAGAAAAAGTATGTGGTTCACCAGAAAAAGAGGGTGGAAGAGACTCTTCGTAAAACATTTAGTACCAATGAGAAATGGCATGAACTTCTCGCCTCTACGCCATCACAGAGGTGGCAATAACTGTCTGACCCGTTTCCCACCTTAGTAAATAATAGAATTAAACTTCAGACCAATTTCCCCCTTAATACTTCAAAAATGCCTTAGTCGAATGAAGTCCTATACACTCAGTTAATCGTTACAAATAAATTCCTGATACATACAACATTACAATTAGAAACAATTTATTATTTTTTAGTTATATTAATAATTTTAGAAAGTATATATGGTTCTGCTCATAGTAAGTAGTCAGTGTATTCTTTTGTTTTTAAAAAACCCACGAACATTGCAATGGTTTTTCAGCTTACGTGATGATTATGACCAAGAAATAAATATAAAACATCATTGTGTTTTGAAATAATTATGCAGGGAGAAGCAAAATATGATATAGTACATGTTGTTCAGAAGTCGTTAGTTATTGCCTTACAGACCTTTTTTCTTTTATTTTTGTATTGTGCAAATTGTGAAAGGACAAATAACATGGAAATTGAATTGTTTGGAATGAATTATTTAAGTTTTGTATGAAAAACAATCTTTCCTGTATTCAAGAAGCCAGAACTGAGAATTTTGATTTTACCAGTTAGTCAGTAAGCATTAAAAAAAGATTTGGAATAAGTACAATTATGTGTTGCAACAGATTAAAAATACCAACAAGATCAATGTTATGTTTATTAACAAAGTCTCTGATAATTACAGAGGATACTTGAAATTAAAGTATTGTGTAATTGTGTCGTTTATATTGGTCTTTTTATTTTTTTTTAAATTGTTAATAAACAGGCTTTAAAAGTTTCAAAAAAGAGAAGAAAAAAGTCGAGATTTTCTAAAAGTTACTACTCTACAAACTTCATACTAGCAGATTATATAATTTTTACAAAGTTTTACAATTACCCTGAGTAATTCTATATTACTGATTAAACATACTAAAGCATTTTTTAAATGTATAATATATTTAAAAATCACCATTGTTGATAAGAAAAAAAATGATCAAAATATAATAATTTTGTTTGCAGTATTTAATCATTAAGTCAAAAATTTAAAGATAAATAAGAGCCATGAAAAACTACAATTAAAAAACTATACAACTATAACTCAATAGTATATCAATTATCAATTTTATAAAAAGAAAAACATAAATTAATTTTTAAGGGTATGATAAATTCACTTCCTGATAAAATTAAAGGGGATTACTCAATTTTAAGGACCTCTTGTTGAACTACGATAATAAAACAACAGTAAAATCCAACGGATCGTAATAATTGGTCATAAAACACCCTCTGGGAATAAACTAGGATAAATGGCCTGCCAATAAAAAAAAGGTTCGAATTTTGCCAAGGACTTTATTGACAATTTTAAACATTTAAGGATCCATTCCATTTAAAATTCCGTACGAGTTAACATAAAATTAAATAATTTACTTCTTTTCTTTGAATAGTAATGGCTTAGGAAGGTGTTTTGGATTTTTACAGCATCCGACATTAAAATTTATCAGTTCATGCAGATTTGTACACTGTTTTAAAAGCTTTTGTTTCTAAGTGTAGGTTTTTATCATTTCTGGGTCTTGTTCGACTTGCTTCTATTTGAGCTTGTTCTTATCAGTTTTGTTGTAGGTAAAGAAATAGACAAGATTCCATCTGTAAGCGATTTGAGACTATCCCAAAGGGTTTTGTCCTGAGATTGTCTACCAAACGTCGGAACAAAATGGTGGATCGGCTGGAGTCGATATCTCCAGTTGAAAAATCGGCGTTTATCTGCAATCTTAAAGTGGGTGCGGTGGGAAAAAAAAATTGGTCTACGATAGTAGAACGGGATCCCAGTGCAGGACGAACCCATATGTTGCGAGGACCGGATCGATAGCAAAGGGGGAAGAACCTTGGGGGTTAGTTTTTATATCGTTTGTAAAATCTGGGAACGAGATATTAAAAGGACAGCTGCAGTTCTGACAGACTTAATGAGTCGGCGTCCTTAGGTCAATGAACAAATGAGTATGAATTACACAAGCCGCATTTTGTTTGTAAATTTGTTTCAACATTCTATGAGTATTTTAGATTTTCATTAATATTTTTAGAATACTATCAATCTGCTAAAAAGACTAAATTTAAAACTACTATACCGGCTTATTTCTTAATATATTAATTATATTTAAGATTTATAAATTTCTCATGAATTTATAGATTTTAACTTCTTTTCTGTATATATTTTATTTTTGTTGTGTGTCTATATTTGACAGAAATTTTTTAATTAGTTTTTATTTGCATTATTTAAATGGGGGAAAGGATAGGGATGTGAAATAAGGAGGGTGGTCGAAGAAAAGGGGTGGACCGGTAGTTTTAACTTATCGGATACTCACTTTCTTCTGTCCTTTTCTGGCATTGGTCACCTGGCCATGGCTGGGGCCTCGAGGACGGGATCCTCAATTTCTCACTACTAGCTTGTCATAGCGCGTGTTCCACGCCACACTACCATCCCCCGGCTTTTACTCTAAGTCGGCCGTCACAAAATCAATGAAAGGACAGAGGGTTGCCCCCCTCCCGATTGCTGCCCTCAAGGGTTGCCAGGCTACGCCTCCCGCTCTCAGCCGAACCCCGCCAGTTTCGAATTCTTCAGGCTTAGAACAGGGGGTGGATTCGACCCCGGGGATGAAAATTGACCATAATCGGTGGCCGGAAATTGTGGTTGGTTAGTGACTTTTTTTGCGGGCGTGGAAAACGAAAATCGAATCATGAAATCACGACGTGGTCTATAGCTATATTATACAAGATAAGTCACATGGATTAAATAAAATTCATTACAAGAAAAAAATCTTGCCTTCAAAATTTTCTATGTATGTATTTTAAATTTGAAAAAAGTATAATTATTTTTGTATAAATTTGCACTAATTGATAGCATACTATTTTTATTTCCTTTGTCTAGTTGCTTAAACAATTACCACCATTATTTGTACCATTTTTTATACAAATAATACTATTTTAAGACTTTAAGAATAACAATTTGCTTAAGAGATTGCATACTTTTATGTTCTCGCTGTAGTTTTTTAAACAAAATGTAAGCAAGAAGTGTTTTATACAGGGTAGTTCGTTATGATGTACAAAAATAATTGGGTGATAGTCACTGCCGTTTTCATTTTTGACAATAGAACTAAAGCACTATCTCGTTAATCTGTATTCTTTTATACAGGGTGTTTTATGAACAGACAATACTTTAGGATTATTTTACATGCCAAATGGACTAAAAAATTCCTATTGTCCATAGCTTGATTCTTAATAATAAAGATATTTTACTTTTCGTGTTGCTTCAACCTTTCACAATTTTTTCTCATAAAGGCCCCTTATCTCATAAAATATTAACTTTACTGTAAATTTGATTACATCAATATAAAGAGCATTAAAAATCTTATAAGAATAGTTTGTTTTTATGTTAGGTATCCCGTTTTTGTGGCATTCTACTCCATTTACAGTTTATTGTCACCTATTTTTCTGCATCTCATAGCGAAGCACCCTGTAGTACACAGCGAGTAATAAAAACCATTGGAGAGTTGGTTTTTATCCATTTCCTGGCTGATATTAATTCATTAATATAGCAGTATTTTTAAATTTATTTTATAAATACTCATCTAGTATTGAAAAATAACAAAACCGAAACAAAGATGAGATTAAAATTAGTTTCGTAAAATGGGTTTGTTTACTCAATTAAAAAGTGGTTGTTTTATTTCTCTTGATTTATTTAAGTCTTTTGATGATTTAATCAGTTTTACACTGATATTTAAAGAGTTCATTTCTAACAAAAACCTCGTTATGTCTAAAATGAAGGAATTAGGTATTGGGTGTCGGTAAATATTTGTGCTGCTTAGGGAAAAAGCAAACGGTCGTCCTCGGTTAAAACAAATTTCGATCAATTTGGTATATTTGCTTGGATACCTCAAACTTCAGGCAATATTTACTGTAAGTATGAGTCTGGAAAAGGCGTTAGATGTGTCAAAAGGACGCGGTTTCGAAGGTACAACAAGGATCCTAAACATGAGTAGGTTGTGTGTAATAGCCACTAAATAATTAGATTAGACTTAATTTTAACCTGTAATTTTTTCTAAAAAGTTTTTGTACACGTTTTTAAGACAGACTACTATATTTTGAGTCGTTTCAGTTTCTGTCGGTACAAGTCAAGGCAACTTATTCCTGAAAACAGGAACCAAATGAACTGGCAGACATCGTCTACAAGACTGCAGAGAATTCTCGTGAATAGATCATATATTTACATACCTACATTTTCCAGGAAGTGTATCAGCAAGAAAAATACTTTTCAACATCAACACAAAATCTATCAGTTACAAACAAATATGCTGGTGGAGATGTGATGGTTTGGGGTGTGTTAAGACGGAGAGGATCATCAAATGATATGAGGACCAACTTTGCTAAAACTTGATGTTTGGCAAAACTAAAATAGTGATCTAGGATGAATGTCAAAACCATGGAGTGGTTTATTAAAATAAAGTTCGTCAACAATTACACACACCATTAGTCACACTTTTTGTGTCTCACTGGATCGGTGAAAAAATTTGTTGGACAGAAATTAATATTTCATACTCGGTTAATAAAATAATTTTACCTTAAAATTCAGAGATAATGCTTAATTAAAAGAAAACTGTTTTTCGTCGAGCTTTCGAGGAATTTGTTGTTTTCTTTTAATTTGGCCTTATCCCCGATTTTTAATTTAAAATTATAATACTGAAGATTGATATTAAGTGTATTG